CCTATATCATTAGTATAAGTAACATCAGTAATTAAGTAATAGATCAACTATCACACCTTCTTTGTAATCAAGTAAAGTCCTCAGTTCTTGTTCCTCTCCATCAGCTAGTTTAATCTCCTCTGCAAGACACTCATTATTCATTACCTATAATCAGTACATAATATTAAACAAGGCCTCATACAGTTACAGTATCTTATACTTTGTATCTGATCCTTTTATCATAGACAGTGTAGTGGCCAATGGTTAGTCTAATTAAACTGAATTTCTTCATCAAGACAGTTAGGTTGTCTTGTGCTTCCAAGAGAAGAGCAGCTAGTAAATGATGTGGAGCATAACAGATGATAATGATGGAGTTCCCACGATAAATGCTTCGTACAATAATCCTCTTGTTTAATTTTTTAAATGCTTCCTCTAAGAGATTACGTATGTCATGAAGTGAGTGCTCATCTGGTTCCCATCCCAAAGTAAACTGAATTGTTTCACAAGTGTGGAAATGCTCAGGTTGATTCTGACTGAGGAAATCCTTCAATGATCCACTAACTGTCTTCACTTCTTCTTCATATTCTGATATAATAGGTTTTGCTTCAGTGATTTTAAACCGTTTTATAATTACTTTTAATATCGAGATATTGTTCACTCGGCATTTTTTGACAACAACATTCATAATTGCTTCAATACTATCAGCATTAGACAGGTCAGGACTCAATTCTGGGAAGGACAGTTGAAGGAATGACTTCAATTCTGCAGCTGATGGAATGGATTGAGATATTAATGGAACTAGCTCAGCAATAAGAATACCAAAACTTCCTCTAATTTCATCAAACATAGGCTGATTTGCTGCATTAAAAAAGAGCTCACTATCTATAATAATAAATATTATTAACAATCAATTTAAACTAATAATGTACTTGAAGCTGATACTGTTGTGTTTGCAGTTGGTAATTGATTGACAGTACTACTGGAAACTGGTCTAACTACAGCTGTAGTCACTTCAATTTTACCTGCATATACATTATAATTACTAAAATTATGTAGTATGAATTTATGTATGGAGTAGATTATTCATATTCCTTAGTATACAGTGTATTACTGAAATAAGCTTCTCCCTATCAGGAGAGGCTGGAGAGCAGTAACTAGGGTTGTATGGTTATACATAAATTGTTTCTGCACTGAGGTAGGGTATCATGCAAGGTGCATAGCAACTTCAAGGAAACTTGATTTAAATTTATATTGACTGACACATGTACATATAGTCATGTACATGTGCATGTAGTACATGAACATATGCATTAAACTTACTTAAATTTCCCCTTAGTTTAGATGCCATGTTCTTTAGTCCTACTTTCTGCAGTGAAGTAATGAGAGAAGAGAAAACACTGTTAGGATTAGGATGACACTCAAGTGTTGCTAGTACTGAAGAGAATATTTTATTAGATCTATCATAAGGACTGAGTCCAGTACTTTCCACAGTAACATGCACTGCTTTAGGAATGAGATCAGATGAAAAGAGATGATTATTTAATTGTGAAATAACTGGAGGATTTCCTGCCAACAAATCGACTAGATCAGCTAACATCTTTTTCATTGTAATGTATTCTGGTGAAGGCAGGGCTGGTGTTGTAACAAATGCTTGTGCTTGTAATAATAGACCAGTTTTATTTCTTGGTTTTGGTATTGGTAGTTTCTCTGTAAAAGGTTTTTTATGATGTTCTGGTGGTACAGGAGGTGGCTGTGCACTTTGTGCTGGAGGTGAACCTGGTGTACATATAGGTAGTGATTTTTGGCGTGGCTTAGGTACTGGTGGTGTCAGTTGTGTAGATGACTGACATGGTTTAAGTGCTGCTGGTGGAGGTTGTACAGTTTGCAAAAGTGATTGTGGCACTTTTGTTGTTGGCAATGGTTGAGATTGTCCACTTTGTGATACTGATTTTGGTTTATGTGCTACTGGGGGAGGAGACTTTAGTGTCTTTTGTGATGAACCTATTAATAGTAATTACTTTTAATAAAACGCTGTGGCTATAGGTCCGGTAACCGGACACAGTTTTCAATTGCTAGCCTGAGATCCGGCAGTCCGTTTTTCTCCGTAACTTGTGCGCATGCGCAATAGTGCAAAATGAAACTTAGTCTTTTTATCAAGAAACACTAAACCCAAATCCCAAAACCCTACGATCCCGGAGGCTAAGATGTATGAGAGGGTGCTCTAAAAACTAAACACTAAACCTCAATCCCAACCCTATGACCCCGGAGGCTAAGATGTATGAGAGGGTGTTTATTTCTTGACCAAAAAGCCAAAAAGTGAAAAATAGCAAAAAAAAATTTTTTTAAAGAAAAAAATCAAAACCCATAGTAGAGTACATTATCAATGATCGTACACCACCAATTTTCGGACACTTGTTTTAGGAAAACTATACATTGCCATCTCATGAAACTGCAAAGTATTATAGCAATAGTTATCCCTTATTTGCATGACAAAATCTGTAGCTCTAGCAAGAGTACATAGAAAGTTATAAGCTCTCAAAGCGTGGTGTCCGACAATACCAATAATCGGCCAAAATTCTCAATCTTCGGACTGTCATTTCTGAACGGCAGCAAAGGATAGTTTTAGAAGGTCACTATGATAACTTTGTAGGCCTGTCTTTAAACTAACTATCACCATCCGGATCTTTTTGATAGCTGTCTTTTTGACAGAGATAATGGCCACTTAAAATGTGTCACTGATCCCTCAATATACGGACAAATTTTACAAAAATATACAAAAATTATGAATTTTATTAGTAAAACTCCGTAAAATCATCAGTTTTGTATATTTTTGTAAAATCCGTGCCACCCGTAGGCACAGAGGGTGTGGTCTGGCTACACGAAACTAGGCAAGCTGTGCGGCGCGCTTCGCGCGCTGCAAAATTTTGCTGAACCACGCCCCTTTTGGGGCGTGGCCACACCTATTTTTCAACATGGCGACTTCTTGACCGATCATAGGCAACGTTGAATACCTTTTCAGCCTTATAATGGCATCATAGAAAGACTGCTTTGGCCTTTTCCTTTTATATGTAAGTTGTAGAACAGCTTTTCCTTCCAAAGGCAGCTTATTATTTGATTATTTTTAAATTTTGAGTTTAAAAAGGGGGGGCAATTGCCCCCCTGGCTACGCCCCTGGATTATTGGTATTGTCGGACACCACACTTTGAGAGCTTATAACTTTCTATGCACTCTTGCTAGAGCTACAAATTTTGTCACATAAATAAAGGATAACTATTGCTATAATACTTTGCAGTTTCATGAGATGGCAATGTATAGTTTTCCTAAAACAAGTGTCCGAAAATTGGTGGTGTACGATCATTGATAATGTACTCTATAGTTTCATTCAATAGTCTGGACCAAATTCGAACCACTGTCCACATCAGTGCAATCCACTTGAGCCTCTCCACTGTGCCACCACGACCCTGCTGCTTCAATGCTGCTGGACTTCGTATTTATATTCGATTTCTATAATATATATGTACTGGGGCGTAGCCCCAGTATATGGGCGAAGCCCCTATTACCGGATCTCTAGCTCTGATTACACCATGTCCGGTTACCGGACCAATAGGCACTTCGTTAATAAAACACTGACAGTAACTACAGTTTAGTGTTTGTTGATTATGCTAGCTAATTATTGTAATTAATGCATTTTTATACCTATTATTTTTTCAGTAACTACTCTCATTTCATGTAACAGTGCTGGATGTTCTTCAAATGCTTGTCTAAGAAGTGAAATTCCTTCACAATCACTAGCAGCATTTCTAATCTTTCTTATAGTATCAGCATCAAGCAGTGGTAGAGACTCCTCCAGTTGTCCTTTGATCAATAACTCATGAAACTCTATCAGTTCAGATACTGTTGGTCTATCATCTGGTGTATCCATTAATGCGATAGGAGAGAGTGGAGGACCTCCCTATCAATGGCTTGTTTGTACCAGTAGTAGCTGGTCCTAAGTTGACAAAAAAAGCAAAAATTCATAATTTCCCTTAAGAATAATATTATTTATTTATTTAATACAATTTATTGTAGCTGTATATGGTATATACTAATCTATGAATTATGATATATTTTTAATAATCAATTATTGGGTATATTTACACTCACCAGTAGCAGTACTGTGTACATCATTAGTTCCTTTGATATCATTACCACTGATCATAGCATTACGTTCTATAGAATACACACACACACACAGTCAATACTAATACAATCAGTGATATTAACTTACTCTCTTGATCTAACTTGTCAGCTGCAGCATTCTCATTCATAGATTTAAGAGCATCTGACAGTGAGTCAAAGGTAGCTCCTCCTTTACTATCAACATTATCAGCTCTACGCAACCACTTGGAGATACACTCTGTCAAGCAGCGAGGTATATCATCAGAAAAAATTGCTTCCAAAACATCCAGTGTGTCCTTATGTAGTCCTAGTCTCAGTCCCAGCTCATACCATCTTGTCTGAGGGAAACCACATCTCTTTAATAGATCAAGTACATCAATAAGTTGATCTACAAAACATAATATATAAATTTATTATAGAATACAGTCAATTGTTACCAATAGTCAAAGGAGAAGAGAAGAGACTCAGAGAAGAGGAACAAGAACTGGTTTTAGTTGCCATTGATCAAAGAACAAGCTAACCGGATGCAAACTTTGCAAAGGAATGACAAGGGAGGGGCTTGTTTTGGGCGGGGCAATTATTGTTACACAGCCAAGAATTCTCATCTCTGATACAGGCCACTACCCAAAATCAATGATTCAGGCCTGATGTCTATTTTGATACAGTCCTGACTGGCATCAATGTTGAATCATGTCTGTTGCTCTGGCTGAACCAGGGCCGACTTCACCATAGTTGTAGCATGGATAGTTATCATACTAGACTCATTGCTTTGCAGGCTGCCCAAAATCCATGATACAGGAATGTATCAAGGCTGATCCTGATTGATATCAGTCATGTAGTCTCGCCGGGCCATCAGTCATGATTCAAAGTAAAATTCTTGGCTGTGTATTTTAACCCTCAAATTTTCAATATGGCGGCATTGAAACAGACAGATCTTGATGGACTTTTCATCTACAGGGAACAGAGAAAGTTGATGATGAAAATGATGGAGTTACCAATGACAGCAAAATAACAGATGAGGTAGTTCAAATGTACCTGTACATGTATACTAGTACATGAATTTTAGTCAAATTGTGAAATACATGTATGATATGTCCTGTACCCGTACCTGTAGGGGCACCATCAAAGTTTTTGTCCTGGACCCCACATAGCCATAGCCCATGGATTTTTCCAAAAAATAGCTCCGAAATTATTCCAAATTTTTATTACATTTTCTGATGCATATTGATGTCTTTATGCTGTGTAGCAAGTTTGAGCTGATTCCAACTTCAATTTTTTAAGTTACTGTCATTCTGTCCTTCTATTAGAGGGACCTCCTATACTTTATATAGGATTATATTTACTTAATGTATGTAGCCCCCAGTCTTATAATATATACAGTCTCTTTTATTGAGTAGTTGTTCTCTCATTATTTCTAGTTTAATTTGGTAAGACAGTCTGATCAATCTCAACTACTAGTACCATTCCTTCATGATCCTAAGACTAATAATAATTTTGTACCAAAGTGTATGCCTCTCCAGTATCAAGGACTGATCTATCTCTCTCTCTTCAGTTTGTGGATCAAGTATTGAGGAAACAATCTAGTACTATGGGGCGTGTCTGTCAGTGGAGCTAACTCGTTACACAATGAGTCTAGTCTGTCTCGTTCTGTTAGTTACTTACTGACTCAAAACATACCAGTATGAAGGACTGTGGTATTATTATTATTATAAATTGTACATGTATGTCATTTCTAATTATAATATTGTACAATTAAAGTAATATTGAAATGATTCGTCACTTTTTGTGGGTGGGACTAGCAGAAGTGAGCCACGCCATAGATATTAGAGTTAAAAGAAATATCTATGGCCACACACTAATTGATTAGAATGAGATTATGAAAATAATAAAAATAACAGCTCAGCCTTTTATGTATAGTGTATTCTGATTGGTCGCTTGTTTTTGGTGAAGATACACAAATTCACATGAAAAGTGATTAGTTACAACCAGTCTACTCTGTCTTGTATGAGGTGATAGTTAGGATAAGTATTAATACAAGTCTCTTTGTGTCGCTTGTCTAGCATAAGTCTCCTTATATTCTTATTATCCATTAGTGACTGGAGGATGAGTAGTATTGACTCAGTAGACAATGAAGTCTTCCTTAGTTCCAGTACAACTAGTGATGAGTTATTGAGGAGGAGGTGAGAAAGAGCCTGTCCACTAGTAGAAGTGATGAGAGGATTATCATAAAGATCTAATGAGGTAAGTGTAGAGTTATGTTCAAGTGCTTGACAGATATTAGTAACTCCCCTATCACTGATGGAGTGGCCTTTGATGCCTAGTTCTTGTATTGTTTTATTATTAGTTAGTAGCATACACAAGTACTGGATACAATCATTAGTTAATGGAGTGAATTGTATCTCAAATCTCCTCAGGTTTAGTGTATGCAGTTTAGTTGATGATAGTAGAGATACTGTACTATTAGTAGATGAGTGTTTCAGTTTAATCTTACTATGATATTTATTATTACTAATCACTTCATTACACTGAACTGGAGATGGAGAGTACAGGGATACACTGTCACTGTACCGCCAGTCCACACTCCCAGTGACTCCTAATATAAACCAAAGGATTATACTTATATACATGTATGTACATAATAATACACATATTCACATCATGTGTATATACAAACACACACAACTTGCTAGTTGTCACTACAACCAATAAACAAATACACACACAATACATATGTACTTACATACACACATGTAATGTGTACATATGTAGGGACAGGAATATAATGCATGAAATTACATGTACATTGTACATGCTACATGCACAAGTATGCATGTACACATGACATTACATGTTCATGAACAATTATACTGACTGTCACAATAATCACAAATATTACCTTCATCATGTTGTTCCTTGTCTTGTCTCAGTGCAGGTATCATAATAGGATCATCATTAATAGTCTCCAAGAAAAGAGAAGCTTTCTCATCATTACTAGATGAATCATTCCTTATCTTCTGTAGAATAGGAAGGGACACTTCTTCTACTGACAGTATAAACTCTAACAATTGAAGTGACTCCAACATTGAGTAAACACAACTACTAGGAATGTATCCCTCATCACCAGACACCAAGGATCTTCCATACCACTCAAAAATATTCCATTTCTCATATATCTCCAGCTGCTCTCCTTCACTGAATGAAAGATCACCACTCCTTATTCCATGATAGTCAATACATGCTGTGTAAATAGATTCTGCTGTTGGTGATTGTGTACACTGATCCTTCTCTATACAGTGTATCAATCAGTTAATGATTTAATTAATAACATATCACATACTCTCAATATTTCCCTTTTGACTCGTCATTAGTTGTACACTAGTTATTGATAAATATTTTTGTAGTAACTCAATCTCTTTCTTATACTCCACTAATGCCTCCTCTCTTCCTGTGATGAGGTAGTATAGACAGATTATACCAGTAGAGTCAGTACCTGCTTTCATTAGGAGAGAGGTTCGGAAATACTCAGTCTCTGATTTCTTTGATTTGAATATTTTCTTTGTAGCCACTTGTAACCTTGCTCTTTCCATCTTCAGTTTAGAATCTACAGTAATGACACAATGAGAATTTTATAAGATAATTGTACTGATTGTTCAAATGATTATCAACTGCTTATTACTTTAATACATGCTTTAAGTTAGTACTATACCTGGTGTCTGTAGTGTCCTTTCAATATACTCTATACAAGTAAAAATACATTAATAAAACATCTTCATCATTCACTAACTATACCTTTTCTTTTTTTGATGATATTCAGTTGTTTATCTTGTTCAAATATTGATCCTATACCATTAGTATAAGTAACATCAGTAATTGAGTAATAGATCAACTATCACACCTTCTTTGTAATCAAGTAAAGTCCTCAGTTCTTGTTCCTCTCCATCAGCTAGTTTAATCTCCTCTGCAAGACACTCATTATTCATTACCTATAATTAGTACATAATATTAAACAAGGTCTCATACAGTTACAGTATCTTCAGTATACTTTGTTTCTGATCTTTTTATCATAGACAGTGTAGTGGCCAATAGTTAGTCTAATTAAACTGAATTCCTTCATCAAGACAGTTAGGTTGTCTTGTGCTTCCAAGAGAAGAGCAGCTAGTAAATGATGTGGACCATAACAGATGATAATGATGGAGTTTCCTTGATGAATGCTTCGTACAATAATCCTCTTGTTTAAATCTTTAAATGCTTCCTCTAAAAGTTGACGTATGTCAACAAATGAATGCTCATCTGGTTCCCATCCCAAAGTAAACTTAATTGATTCTAAATCATCAAAATGCTCTGGCTTATTCTGACTAAGGAAATTCTTTAACGATTTGCAAGCTATTTTCACTTTTTCTTCATATTTTGATATGACATGTGATGCTCCAGTTACTTCAAACCGTTCTACAATTGTTTTTATTTTTGAGATATTATTGATTCGGCATTTTTTCACTATAACATTCAAAATTGCTTCGATACTATCAGCATTAGACAGTTCATCACTCAATTCAGGGAAGGATAGCTGAAGAAATGACTTCATTTTTGCAGCTGATGGAATTGATTGAGATATCAATGGAATGAGCTTATCAATAAGAATACCAAAACTGCCTTTGATCTCATCAAACAAAGCCTGATGTGCTGCATTGAAGAAGAACTCACCAGCTAATAATAATGAATAATATTAAAATTGAATTGAGACTAAGAGTATATACCTGAAGCTGATACTGTTGCATTTGGACTAGGTAAATTACAGACTGTACTACTGGCAACAGCTGTAGTCACTGATCTATTAATCATTTCATCTATTATGAAACATAATATAAAATACAAATATATATATACTCTTACCACAATCTTTAATAATATCTTGAGCTAAAGGTTTAGTTTCTTCTAATTCCATTAATATATTTCCTAGTGACCTCAGCTTACTGTGATCATCAGATACTGCAATCATTAATTCTCTTAATGTATCACTTAATGAGCCACCACATCTCTCAATCTTCCTTTGTGTATCCTCAGTGATTAATCCTTCTGTATATAACAACTGGATACAACTATCAGTGAGAGATACTTGTGATATTCTATCACTGTAATGCTGCAGTATCTGACTAGCAGGAT